ATGCAACTTAACTGGGTGAGTAAATATCATTTTTAATTATAGTTTTATTATTATTTATTAATTATAATAATGGCAAAGTCGGGTGAACAGATATTGTCCCAGGATTGAGAAATATTCATGATGATTTTACAAGGGTGTCTTAGATTCTGCTAATATAGCAGCAGGTACTATAAGTCAGCAGTCTCATGTCCTTTTTTAGGATCTTGTGTGATAGTCCTGACTTTACAGCCCACTATAAAACATTTTTCTATAGTTTGTTTTTGCTGTGCAAATTAAATAATGATTTGAAAAATTAAATGAGCACCTAGAACAGGGGTGGGCAAACTACGGCCTGCAGGCCGGATCCGGCCCATCAGGGCTTTGGATCTGGCCCCGTGGGACTGCCCCTCGTGGTGCCGCAGGCCCCGTGCTGCTCTCAGGAGTGGCCAGCACCACGTCGCTGCGGCCCAGGGGGCAGAGGGCTCCGTGTGTTGCCCTTGCCTCCAGGCACCTGCACCTGCCCTGCAGCTCCCATTGGCTGGGAACGGGAGGTACCTGGAGGTGTGGCAAGGGCAGCGTGCGGAGCCCTGTGCCCACCCCTCCCCCAGGGGCTGTGCAGTGATGTGCTGCTGGCCGCTTCCTGGAGCGGCGCCGCATGGGGCCAGGGCAGGCATGCAAGGAGCCTGCTCTGGCCCCGGTGCGCGTTGCTGCCACCCTGGAGCTGCTTTAGCCTAAAACCTTTCGGTAAGCAGTGCCGGGCCGGAGCCCAAACCCCTCCTGCACCCTGCCCCCCAACTCCCTGCCGTAAGCCCCCTGCCTGCACCTTGCACCCCTCCTGCACCCCAACCCCCTGCCATACCCCACACCACTCCTGCATCCCAACTCCCTGCTGAGCCCCCTGTCGCACCCCACACCCCTCCTGTACCCCAACCCCCTGCCCTGAGCTCCCTCCCGCGTCTGCACTCCTCCTGCACCCCTGCCCTGAGCCTCCTCCTGCACCCCACACCCCTCCTGTACCCCAACCCCCTTCCCTGAGCCCCCTCATATACCCAGTACCCCGCCTCTGCCCCAATCTCTTGCCCTGAGCCCGTTCCTGCACACCGCACCCCCTCCCACACTCCTTCCCGCACCCCAACCCCCTGCCTCGGCCCAAAAAGTTTGCCCACCCCTAATCTCGAATATCAATACACAACTGACTACAGAAGTAACATAAAATACATTAGTGCAAGAATACAAGCAAAATATAAACGCTAAATAATTTTCTGGTTCGTTGACTTTCCTTTCACATGGAAGAAAGCCTTAACTCTGAATGAGTAAATTGGTAGTGAAATTAAGCAAAAACTCTAACTGTTATTGTAATGTAGGTTTGTTTATTTTAAATTATCTTTTAGCATTGTACATGTAGTGCTTTGCTAGCTGTCATACTAACATTATTTAACGTAATCCATATGAGAATAAATGAACTGAAAGTCCTTCTCTGTAGTTACTGGCATACAGTAGTTTTTAGTTTATACAATATTTAAAATCTGCTGTTCCTGACAAGAAGGGATAACCTCCATTTGCTAAAGGGATCATGAATAACTGTACGTGCACCTGTCAGCTAACTGATCATTTGCAAAACACCTTGGAAAACACAATGATTATCATGATATATTGAGAAATATTATACAGCATATAGAATTCTCTAACTGTATTTAAGATAGATGCTCACTCTTTGGGAGTAAAAAATAACGATTATTATGTCTCTGTGGGCAGTGAGAACAGCTACTATTAAGGTTATTAAAAGGAACCAAATGATGCCATCTTTCTTAGGAAAGAGAACTTCCCTTCTTATGAACATGACATGGGATTTTTAATGACCACAGCCCTTAGTTTTCTATCTTAGCATGCTGCTGAAGGTGCCTTTTGTTCAACTAAGACAATGGTTAAGTACAGGCTGCAAGAGTGATGCTGAATCATCACCCACACCTCCTCCAGCACCTAAGAGTCCCTTAGTGAACTCTCATCCAAGTATTGACCGAGAATCTCCCATCCTGCTTATCTCGTGAGAACAGCCAAGATCAAACACAATGGTGTCACTGCCAGCTTTAGGATCACATATAATTTCTCCCAGATCGCACACACTCTCTTAGGTGTTTTTCAGTTTCGCAATGCCGTATGAAGCAGATTACATGAAATGTTGAAACCTACCTTCACTTTACCGAGCTAATCATTTTGTTCAGTATTCAGAGTTATTTAAAAATTAAGCCTTTACCTATAGTATTAAGTACCAATCATGCAAACACTTACACATGTGTAACTTTTCACACAAGTCAATAGGACTAGGGGGTTGAATGCTTTGTAGTGTCTCTAGGACAACCTCATTGCACACCACAGTGGCACCTTGCATCCCTCCCTCCCACCCCACAAGCTCACTGAACCTTTCTGTTTCAGGGACTCCCTGCACCTCCCCCCAATCCCTCCTCCTCCCATGCCAGGGTTCCCCGTTCTCCCTCTCATGGCAGGGGCTGTGTGTGCAACCCATTCTCCCCCTTCCTCCCCATTCTCCCTCCATGCCAAAGGTTGTGTGCATACCCCCCATTGCCTCTCCCCCCATTATTTGTCTGGGAGATAAGACATTCAGGGTGTTAACATGTTAAACTGCAGGAAGAGCAGGACATTGTTATGTTAGAAAGCATTAATGGGCGCCATCTATCAGTTGTCTGAGGATAGCAGTGGCTCTCAACCTTTCCAGACTACTGTACCCCTCTAAGGAATCTGATTTGTCTTGCGTGCCCCCAAGTTTCACCTCACTTAAAAACTACTTGCTTACAAAATCAGACATAAAATTACAAAAGTGTTACTGAAAAATTGCTTTACTTTCTCATTTTTACCATATAATTATAAAATAAATAAATTGAAATATAAAGATTGTACTTATTTCAGTATATAATATAGAGAGCAGTATTAACAAATCATTGTATTAAATTTTAGTTTGTATGGACTTTGCTAGTGATTTTTATGTAGCCTGTTGTAGAACTAAGTAACTATTTAGATAAGTTGATGTACACCCTGGAAGACCTCTGCGTACCCCCAGGAGTACCCATACCCCTGGTTGAGAACCACTGATTTATAGCTTCAAGCACCCGTGCAATTATCTGTGGATGTGATAATCAGATGACAATGGCTCCACTGTCCCCCATTTTCCCTCTTTTTGGTTTCCCAATTTTCCCCAAATCAGTGAGTTCTGCCACTGATGCCTAGAACATTCCCTGAATTACAGAAGTGGCATTCAAAGTTAATGTGTTACATACAGACATACAAACACAGAAGTGCCTCACCCGCCTTATCTATTAAATTGAGTGTAAGGCCTTTGCAAGCTCAGCCAATGATGCCTTTTAGCATATGAACTGAAAGCTCAAGGATAGTTGGGAAATATATGAAATTTTCCTTCATTACACTCTTGTTAGCCATACGCCCTCAGGTCTATTTTACATTATATAAAGAACTACGAGTCTGACCCTGAGCAGTGCGATGTATCCTCCATTAATATTAACATCAAAGGTCTGAGAGAGAGCGTAAAACCTCACAGAACCAGCAGATTAGAGTTTTTTTTAAGCACTATGGTGGTACAAAATAATAAATAAGAGTAAGCAGAAACACTGGTTCTGTACATTGAAAAGATATTTGAACTGGAATATATGAGTCTTGCAATCAATTTGGTTTAAATTGAAGAAGAAAAATTTCTCTTTATTGTGTTACACACACACACACACACACACGTTATAAAAATACATAGGAATCAAATACCAAGATTTACAACACAGGGAAAAGTTTACCATAATGATGTGTTTTAGAACTGTCTTCTTAATCTAGCTTCAGTTAGTAACCAGTCTGACTTTTCTTGAGCATAATTGACATAGAAAATCTCTGTGGATTTTAAAGAGTTCCAGAACAGACACCATATGGTAGAGACAAGACCCCCGCATTGTTCATGATTCATTATCTCAACTTTAATTGGTTTAACTCTGAAATTCTGGGACCATATTTGAAATAATGAGGTCTGACAGGTCTAAGGTGAAAAGAAAACAAAATATACACAAACAACCCCCCTATTGGTTATAGTTAGCATCTGCAAAATAATTTCCCAGGAGGAATGGAACAGTATTTTTGCAAAGTTTCATCTGTCTTGCTATCACATAATTCTGTTGTACTTCCTTCCCAGTCTGTGAGAAAAAGATTAGAATGATAAGAAACAGTTCTATAATTAAAAATGAAATAGACTGGAATGTTAATAAAGGCAGTTACCATAACAACTTGATGCAACTGTTAACTGACATGACAATCTGCTTCATTTTTATAAATATATTAGAAGTTGATGATTTTTTTCTTTTCTCTCACTAATCCAAGTGCTCAAAAATTTTCACACTGCAACAGAATAAAAACCCAGAACTATACATGGCATTGCCACATTTCAGATAAGATGTAAAACTGAAGTGGTGACCAGTGAGAGAAATCAAGCATTGGACCCAGCCTTCTGGTCAAATTTCAGCATAGTTAAATCACATCCTGCCTACTTAAACTTCCCCTGTAATTTTTGTTGTAAGCAGTGTTTTTCACTTCCTTACCTAAAATACTGTGCAGTATTGCTGAGTGCCTTTAAACCGCTGAGATGTCTTGGCTACATTCTGAAGTAATGGTGAGCAAAGTGACCCCGATGCATACTTTGTATAAATGTATAAAGAGCTAGATTAAGCTCTTAGGCTCAGATCTGTATGTTGCGAGTGATGGGGAAGGGTGAATCCTTCCACTCCTCATCCCTTGCCCAACTTGCAAACTGGACAGAACTCTAGCTTCCCCAACCTCTCCTACACCCACAGACACAAACTGAGCAAGATTAACTTGCTGCTAAACGCGAGAGGTTATGAGGTGGGAAGGGCTTCACTCCCTTGTATAGCCATAAGCTTGAGGGCAGAATCTCACCCTCAGAGTTTTAGGATGAAGTGTGTGTTATCAAGTATTGCATGTATAGAGAAGCTCACCTCTTCATTGCTGTCACTTCCAAAAAAGTCACCTTCCATTGGGGCTTCTCTACAGACCCCATCACTGTTTTCATTTAACTCCAAAGGAGACATGCAGCCTTCTGGCGACATATTCGGGGACTTCCCATGAGGAGCTGATCGAGGCCGCGACGAAAATGTGAAAATCTCTTTATGGCTTATTTGGTGTTCGCCTGTTTGCTTGCTTTCACTGTCAACGTCAGTATTCAGTGGCAGGGATAAATTATTGCAGGATGTATTGTGGGTAGCTACTGACTGTCCATCAGACTCCATCTGAAAACTGTCACTGCAATTTTCAGGAAATACCCAGTCATCTGAAATTTACAAAAGGTTACATGTTTATTAAAATGTTTATTTTAGCATATAGCATTCAAATAAACTCTCTATAGCATCAAAATATCAAAGTTATACAGCAAATAAATGTTATGGAAAACCCTTTATCTGACTTATGCTTATAAAGATGGAGACCAGATCATATAGCAGACATGAAAGAAGTCATGCTGCTCTCTAGTAATCTTGCAGTGTGCCAAAGATTTAACAAACTGTTTTATTGGTCACAACTCCAGGCAATGAATTTGCAGGCCACAGTCTGTTTCAGTTGTAATAATACGCAAGGAATTTACAAATCTGAAATTACAATTAACACCTCTCAAGCAGTTAAGAATCCTATATAGTTCCAGTACAGCATATTTCTTATACTTGGTCATTGATGGTGTTTTTGAAATAGACATTTTTTGTGAACAGGATTTTCTGAAAAGTCACACGTGCTATGCAGAAGGTTCAAAAAGTTATTTACCCCGCCACTCTCACCTCCACTAAAATCCCATACTTTGTTTTAGGCCCAGAAGACTGGTTTTAATTTAAATATGAAACTACAGCTCAGCTGAAAAATCGTGTAAACACGAAAAGCCCATTTTTACACTCACCTTGTTAAGATATATATTTACTGTTTGGATGGTAGAGAAAAAAAGTGTCAATCTGATTGATTTAGGTGGCTCTCAAACAGCATATGAGAAAAGGAGACTTGTTCAAGTACGCAACACTCTCTTCTCGTCATTAAATGTAGTGTAGCATGGATAAGTTACTGTGAAACTCCCTGGCTTCGTAAACCAGCGTTACTGTTACCAACATAAAAACATAAACCTCAGTATAAAGTGCTAAAATGGTAAGGCTGAAGTAGCCCTTCAATAGCAGCAAGACGCATTGTCACTGCTGAACAGAGTAACAAGGATGAGACTATTAATATGGCATTCAAGCCACTCTCCATAGTTTAACAACACATTCAAATTACCTGCTCAGGCAGGCTCAGGGAACAGCTGAAGCAGCAACAGGAGCTCTATTTGGAAACTCTTGGTTTCGGGACTAAAGCAGCTGAAGAAAATTGGGTGAGAAATCTAGAATGAGTAGCAACTCCTTGGAGAAGTAACTATCTTCTGTCTGGCTTGCTCCACACCTGCTGTGATTTTTGCAGTACTATTCAAAGTGGCTATCGACAAAAGAAGGGCCTAGCTCTACCAGACTCTAGGTGAGGTGGGAGTAGGAACCTAACTCTAAAAGGCCATTTCTACTAGTAAACTGGCCAAAGGAGTTGGGGGATTAATACCAACTAGTTCTCTACTTGTCTTGTACATGAGTTGTCCCTGGTACATCAATAAACCGCTTTGTTCAAGGACAGATTGTCTTAAGGTCTCTTTAAACCATAGCCTATGAGATTCAGAAGCCAAAGCCATTTTTCAGTAATCTCTTTAGATCAACTTGATAAAGGCTGGCCTATAAATCAAGGTAATCTAAAACACCATTTTCTAAAAAAAGTCTACTGTCTAGAAATTATGCAGAAATAGCGTAACTGTAAATGACAAAAAACAAAACAGGGATCTAAGATACGGTAGCATCTGTGTGAGGTGACTACCCAAATAATCTCTCTCATTTGATTAAAAAAATCTCGACTGTTCTTTCAGGAGCCATGTCAAATAAGTGAGAATTCCCAACGCTCTGGGGGCCCTTTCATCTCTTGTACAAAGTATGATACTTTTCTGCTGTGTTCCATGGTCTACGAGATCATCTGGTATTAGTCTTTGAAAAAAAGGAAAAAAGTTCTCCATTCTGTGCTAACCTACAATTAGTTCAAGATTATCTGATAACACATTTTTCTCTAGAGAGACAAGGTGGGTGGGGTAATATCATTTATTGGACCAGTAAAAGCCATTATCTCACCCACCTTGTCTCTAATATCCCAGGACCAACAGAGCTACAACAGCACGGCATACATTTTTCTGTGTCACACAAGTGGAAATTAATGTTAGACATTACCCAAAGCTATATGTTGAAGCCATCAGAGCAAACACTAACTTTCTTTCTACTCTTCTACAGGACTAATTATCTTGCACTAACAAATCATTTCTCAGTTTCGAGATATAGTCACTACATTTTAGTATATGTTTAAAAACTATATTGTTTAATGTAATCATTCTTTCTAAAAAAGCCCGCAAAAGAATACTGAAATTACATGACCTTTCACAAGAGGTTGCTGTCAAGATGCTCTAGAGCTAAAGATATTTAGAAACTTTTTTTTGCCCCCCCAACACCAGATTTGATTTTGTGATTTTTTGGAATCAAGAAAGATCTTGCCCTAACTAAATACTTTAAGGAAACGCTCTCTAAGGCTATTATGAATGAGGACTTGCTCGCCTCTGCACGCCAGCACAAGCATTCCCTGCTGATGAAAACACACTCTAACCCCCTTCTGGGGAGTGAAGAGTTGCTATTACCATTACCATTAATAGCAACTGCTAACCTAACTTTCTGAATGGAGTATAAGTTCTCTCTTTGTGGAGGGGGGTTAGTGCCTAGGGATGTGTCCGGGGTCCCCCTCAATCAATCACAGTTCTTCATCATTTCTTAATGGCTTGTGATTTTACGTGAGTTTTGAATTAAACTTGATAATTTAGAGGAGATATCAAGAAACACTTTTATTTGGCCACCACTTAAAATAATAAAAATAACTTTTTGAGATCCATTTCTTGCAGTTAGCACTAATCTTGGAATCCCAAATTCCAGTTCTTGGTCCCTGTGCCCTGGGGAGGAGACCTCTGGGCTAGGATCCTACCTACTTGAGCTAACTTGTCAAAATTCATATCCAGAATGATTTGCAGATGGGTTCCTGGATCAGTGGCATCAGCTCCCAATCAGACATGCTAGGCCCAGTGACTATGACTGCTTTTCTCAAATTGGAAGTTGGGAATCTGACACGGGTTGCATGAGCAGGGGACTGCAGCAAAATCACCGCCAGGTGGCTGCTAGGAATCCCGGAGACAGAACAAGGAAAGGAAATAAGACATCCTGCTTTCTTCTGCTGCTGCTGCGGCTACAACTTCCCATATCTACCTTGCTTCAGCTTCTTGTTCTCCCTCACCTCCTGCCCATCCCTATTCTGCTCCATGGAAGTTCTGTTTAAAAATGATGAGGAGCAAGGAGCCTTGACTCCACAGCTCATGTGTTCCTTACCATCTTCCGGCGGCGTTTCCCTGAAGCAGAATGCAGCGTGACCAGCGGGGATGAACTGAAGCTCCACTACCTTACCCCAACACCCTAGCAGCGCCCACTCTCCCGAAGAATCCACCCCCTCTACCCAGGCCCCAGCACCTACTACCCACATTGCTCCCAGCACGATCTACTGTCCAGCAGCATCCAGCACCCTCTAAGAAAACTAGCCACTTTGTTCTTTGCCAGGATCTCAATCCCATCATCCTTTGCAGCCACAATGGATTATGGGATGTGACCTATAGGTTTGGGATCATCACAAAAAAGCATGCCTGATTTTATGAACCCAGGTGGTAAAAGTACAAGGACTCCTGGCCTGTGGCATTAAAGTTTTCAACTCAATGAATGGTTCAAAATGATACAACCAAAAAGACTGTCTCCAGTACTTACCTGCCTAACAGGGTGTGTATGGTAAAAGTGATTGTAATGATTCAAGCTGTGGAAATGATTCAAGCTCTCATTCTTGCAAAAAAAATTATATTATGCAGTAAAATAAATGAAGTGAGATTTCATATAATTTACATGTTTTGGCCAAGATTTACATCCTTAGCCACAGGTGCACTGACCAAGCTGAACTGTTTATGTGAGGAGAAAATAAAACATTCTGCTGGAGACAACATTATCCTGAGTATATGTATTTATAAACCTTGTGCTCATGGAGAAGAAAGAGTAGCTGTCATCCATACAGCATAGAGGTTTGAAGGAAAATCTCACAGCCATTTTGCTCTATCCAGCAATCTGAAATTTTCAAAAGGTAAAACTCAGTTTTCACCAGGAATACTTTGTGAAATTGTATCTGAAACGATCAAGTTTTATTGACATGGGGCAACGCTGTTGTGTGTTCACTCCTTAAGGATTAAAACATGTCTACATCAAGAACACTGGAAGGAGCCCAGTGTAAGAGATTTTAATTTCTTAAATGGCTGCAGAGCTAATTAAAACTTTCAGATAAATTAATCACAGTTTTCCAGCTGCGGTATAGGTCGTTATAAAGGCAGAACTTGTAAAGCTACTGGCAGAAAAGATGGTGAAGACAGCATGAGCAGTGGGGCTGTGGAGTCAAGCCCATCTTGAATAAATGGAGGATCTAAATATAAAAAGGCAACTTTCAATAAGTACTATTGTCCAGTGTTTAGAGAAGGGGAACTGGCCAACAGGCCACACTCCAGGGTCCCATACCTGGCTCTGTCAGACACATTCCAGGACGGACAAAAAAAAAAATCTATGATTTTTTTATAATATCAGGTTTTTTACATTTAAATTAAATACAGGTTTATATTTTAAAAAATAAACCTATTTAAATTTAATTTGGAATTACTAACACATATGTTAAGGCCTAAATTATAATATATTACAATAATTTAAATTAATTTTAAAAAATATTAAACAGTACGTGTTTGCTGGCAAGTTTTAAAAGAAACTCAAACCCACTGAACTGGTGGAAGTCACTGGCTAAGTACCTCAAACCAGCTTGTGACAGCAGCGGCCTCTTCTGCAAATGCAGAGAGAATATTTTCTTCTGGTCAGTTTATTTAACTAGTTCAGTTCAATCTACGAATAAAAAACTAGGTGTGAGAGGATAAGATCTACAACTTCTAAAATCTTGAAGGACATGTTGATCAGAAACAGTTCGTTCAATTCCTATCTACAGATAATATTTCCTTTGTTTAACAAATCACAGTTTAAATGCCAAATAGGTTTTGATAATGGATGGGTAAGGTAGCAGCCAGCCTGCTGATCAGTGGAGACGTGGGTTTCTTGGAGTGTAAGGACG